GGCTGCAACATGAAACTTCACCTCTAGATGTCACTAAATTCTACACACTGAACCTTTAAAACAATTTTAAAAGTGAAGAGTTTCTGAGTCTTCAAGTTTGAAAACATGATAACAGATCCTGGCCCTTTGAGATCTACTGAGATCTACTGAGATCTACTCTGAGATCTACTGAGATCTACTGAGATCTACACTGAGATCTACTCTGAGATCTACTGAGATCTACACTGAGATCTACTGAGATCTACTGAGATCTACTCTGAGATCTACTGAGATCTACACTGAGATCTACTGAGAACTACTCTGAGATCTACTGAGATCTACACTGAGATCTACAGAGATCTACTGAGATCTACTGAGATCTACAGAGATCTACTGAGATCTTCACTGAGATCTACTGAGATCTACTCTGAGATCTACTCTGAGATCTACACTGAGATCTACTCTGAGATCTACTGAGATCTACAGAGATCTACTGAGATCTACTCTGAGAAACAATTAGAAATGACTGATTTATTCGACAGTCTTGTCGTGAGCTCCCATGATGCCTCAGGGTGGGCGGAGCAGTGGACTGAGTCTCAGTGATTGAGTCACTGTTGCTCCAGCTGTTAGAGCAGAGAAGTGAAGGAGGAACTTCAGCCAGAATGAAGAACGTGAAGCTTTCACACACGTGAACATTCTGGAACCAGAGCAGGCTCCACACAGCTGAGAGGAAGTAACGCTCCTGATCTCTGATCTGCTTCAACTCTGCACATGTGCAACAGTGATTCTTACACTCGCAGAACGACAAATCCTCCCTCACGGCAAAGTGTTGGAACACGTCCCGGCTCAGGAGGTTCACGCTGAATGCTCCTCAGTGAACAGCAGAGGTTGATGAGTCTGGAGGATGAAAACTGACCTTTGACCTGAGGCAGGTCCTTGTTCAGGTGTTCGAGCTGTAAAGTGGATCCTCCATATGCTGCGTCTGTTGACAGAGATCATGTGACTGCTGGTGATGTCACACTTCCACACACACGTGTGCTCACACACACGTCCCCATGTTGATCATGTGACATAACGTGGAACAGTGAGTCACCAGCAGCTCGTACCTGCTGCCAACACGTTTCAAACAGTCTCCAACTAATGCACAGTTATCTGCTTCTAAAGATTCATGTGTAGATTAGGAAGAAGATTCTTTGAGTGAAACTTGAGGTGTAACCGTCACACAAATGCAAATATATCAAACCTCCTGTTTACGTCTGTGTGAGCGAGGATTTAAAGAAAATATTCACTTCCTGTGTGGATGGAAATTTTGACCCGGATTGTGGAACAGAGATGATTTATTCTGGGAGTGAAGTGGATTTTGTTGCTGCTTTGTTCTTTGTTACCTGGGAATGATTTTATTTTCAGATCATAACAGAATAAGTGAAATATCCATGGAGACATTTTGAAAATGTATTAAAACTAATAATACTTAATATTTATTAATGACATTTACAAGTTTGCTGTTTGAAGACGACACGTGGAGTGAAAAGAGTTGAGTGTCTCCTCGTGGTCTAATAACTCTGTTCTCACTGGAGCTTCTCATGTTGACATGTCAGCACAGGTCAAAGGTCACTGTGACATCACGATGTTTCACAGGAACAGACGGGACCATGTGTCTGGTCGCTGGAGGTTTACGACTGTGAGGCAGTGATCAGGTTTTTGTGTTTGTTGGTTTATTAGTCGTTAAGATGACATGAAAACTACTGAACTGATTTCCACCACAGAGTAAGAATCTGGAGAATCTGCAGATCCAGGACTTTTGTTTTCGAGTTAGAATCCGATCCTCCTGTGATCCTGCAGCCACAGTTTGATATGCTGCACCTCAGATGTCACAGTTTCAGTCTCTGAGGAAACACGTTTCACTTAAATGATTCGTTGACCTTAAGTTTCGTGGATGAGGGGTCGACTGATGAATGAAGACAGAATGGGGAATGTTAAATGATCTGTATTTATAAAGATCTTTCTTCTTCACACATTCATACAGAGCGTCTATAGACAGCACTGTCTCTATCAGGGTCGGTCCAGGGTTCAGTTACTCCTGATGTGAAGCTGCTGAACGACCTGCAGACAAAATGAGCAGCAGCTCATTGATTTGTTCGTCAGAGATTCTGTCATAACGGTCTTTGATTCCTGCTTTTTAATTGACCCTCTGCTGGAGGGTCAATTATTCACTTGGGTTATTTTATCTGTCAGTTATTCTCCTGCTTCTTCCTGTCAAAGAAGGTGTGAGGCTGCTCGAGACGAGTGGACAGGAAACGTGCTGCTGCCACGACCTGGATGTTCTTCATCCTTCACCAGCAGAGTCCAGTGTGTGGGCTCTGATTTATCTTTCAATGCTGTGAACAGCCACTGACTGAGGGAGGCTGTTGTTCTGCTCCACCTTCATCTGAGTCCTTAAATAACTCGCACTCTCTAACACCAGGGTTTTACTTCATCTTTTATTCTTCACTCCATGGTCACTGCAGAACCATCTGTAAAACACAGGCGCAGGTTCCAGTGAAGTGAAATGGACGTCACTTTTAAAAACAGCATCTCTTGTTTATGACCTAACGTGTGGATATTATCAATCTTTCATTTATTGGTCGTTCTTGATTTTCTGTTTTCACCAAGAAAAAGGTGATCGCCAGGTTTGTGAGGAGCTAAATATAGTTTCCCTGATGAAGCAGCTGCAGCGAGCGCTCGCTTCCTGCATGTGATGCTGTGTGAACACCGTCATGCAGCAGCAGCAGCCTCTCCTCCCTCTCACAGAAATGCTGCAATGCGTCTTCCTCAGACTGGGTCAGTGTAACAGCCAGAGGACCGTCCCCATAGCAACAGCCAATGAGGCTGAGCGATGCTGTAGTGCTGCTGTTGTGATTGTGTATGAAAAGTATTGACAGGATTCAACTCATCAGGGTTTGAGCAGCACTGGAGACATGAGGGACCGAGCAGCTGTTGGGTGTGGCTGCTCATGATCGATGTCACGTGGCCGGAACACTCGAGCAGAAATCTTCACGGAACGACACGACACTTTTCACGTTGTAACGCGGCGTGTTTTTATTTTCTGGTGTGAAAGTAATAAACTTCCACAAATGAGTAAATACTTTTGACTGTAAATACAAAATGGACGACACATCACTCGTTAGCTCGCACCTTTCTATTCCTGATATAGTCGATGACATCACTCTGTGATGTCATTTGGAGTTTACGTAGTGATCAGGGGGTGGAGCCCTCTCGACCAATCACGAGTCAGTCTCAGCTGTCAATCATGACCTTTCACCTAAAATCCTTCAACATATATTGACTTTTATTTTGGTCCATGTCCCATCCACTTACATGGAGGAAGCAGGGTTTCGACCTGTACAGCAGCCAGCCCCCAGGGGGCAATCAAGATGACTCGGGTTCACTTTTGTGGAGCTGTCATGTCGTCCATCTTTAGTTACAGTCGATGCTAAATACATAAAGCTTCAAATATTTCAACTGCCAGGGCTCTCGACTCTTGTGAACATTAGCATTAGCAGTTTATTTACCTGTTTAGCTTAGCATCAGCTGTTGACATCACTGGAAATAACAGTGTTAGCATGCTAGCAGTTAGCATTGTTCTCAGGTCCTGAAAACACGACGACAACTGCAGCTACAGTGTCGCAGACGTTGTGTGTTCAGTGCGATGCTTTGGATCCTGTTCGATCAGTGTGTTGTGTTGTGTTGTGTTGTGTTGTGTGTCTCCTGAAGGCCAGCGGCTGCTCCAGTATCACAGTGACGTCCTGCAGTCGGTGGTGCTGGTGAACCCGTCAGAAGACGCTGCTGCTTCAGAGGTGAACCACACGACATCGTCAGGACATTTTTAAATCCTGTCGTCCTTATAAACTTCAGACAGAGCTCACACCAATGTATACATACATTTATACTATATATAGTATATATATAGTATAAATAGAGAAATGTCTAAACATATTGTTTTCATCAGGATCCATGAATTATTCTGAGAAACATTCTGATCACACAACATTAAAGAAAGTGAAAAGAATCCTCTGGCCCATAAAACATCTTTAAAACAAGATGGACGTCAGTGGGAACTCTGGTCAAGTTCCATTTCATCTGTAACTTTTCTTTGTAAGAACCTGAAGAACACACTGCACTGTGTTTATCTGGTGTACTTTATTCATCAGTGAATTTAGATGTAATATTCGATATGTGAGACGAATGTTTCTCTTGTCCTCTTTTAGACTGAAGTAGACCATATTTCACTTTTTGTGTTTGGGGATGGAGTGACACTGATCCCCTTAAACTGATGATATTATTTACACGGTGTTATTTTTATATCATGAACAGTTCAATGAATGTTTGACATCTCATATTCATTGTGTTGAAATATTTGAATTCTTTAAAAATGTCTTGATCCTGCTGTTGTTATTACATCATATATCATCATACATCATATATATAAACAGTATATACAGTATATATACTGTATATATACTGTATATATAGAACAGACACTGTTTTGATATTTGCACTAATATGAACCAACTTCATTGCCTACATTTGGTCAAAGATCATTTCGTCACCATTTGACTCTTTGGTTTTGAGTCGAAGGCCTTTGGAAGATTTTTTATTTGATATAAAATAATCTGTTTGTTATTCCTCCACCCAGATCCGCTCTCTGATCACTGACTTCGCCGGGAATAAGCTATTGATCCTCAGTGGCCAGAGCTCCGAGCAGGGAGGTGACGTCCTACTGCAAAGTGGAGCCTTCACCTGGCAACACTTCTCTGACATCATCTCCAACCCTCAAGTGAGCTCAGCCATCTCTGTCTCTGTGTGTTTGCAGAAACAGTGATTTGAGTTGACTCTTCATTTTCCTCTGTTCCTGTTCCCAGGTGATCGAAGTCCTGTCCAGGGCAGAGCAGCCGTCCAGGCTTACTGTTTCCTGTCAGGGAGAGGGGGGCTGGAGCTCCTTGGGCCAAAGCCAGGAGCAGCAGCCGATCCAAAACCTTCTGGAATACCGACTGAACCCCGAACCCCACCTCCCCGACATGGATGGAGTCACAGAGTTCACTGACTATGTCTCAGAGACAGTTGACGTCCCCTCACCCTTTGACCTTCTGGAGCCCCCAACCTCTGGAGGTTTTTTAAAGCTGTCCAAACCCTGCTGTTACATCTTCCCTGGAGGCAGAGGAGACTCAGCTTTGTTTGCCGTCAATGGATTCAATGTCCTGGTGGATGGAGGGTCTGAGCGAAAGTCCTGCTTTTGGAAGTTGGTTCGTCACCTAGACAGGGTTGACTCTGTGCTGCTCACCCATATCGGTGCAGACAACCTCGCTGGTATTAACGGGCTTTTCCAGAGAAAGATCGCTGAGCAGGAGGAGGAGCGTAACCAAGGATCTGGCTCCAGCAGCAACGGGGACTGGATGAAGAACCTGATCTCTCCGGAGCTTGGAATCGTGTTTTTCAACGTCCCAGAGAAGCTGCGGATGCCGGAGTCCACACTGAAGGTGAAGCGAAGCATTGAAGAAGCATCACTTACACTGCAGTACCTCAACAAGCTTGGTATCACACCAGAGCCTCTTCACAGGGTGGTCAGCAACACCATTGAACCTATCACCCTGTTCCACAAACTCGGTGTGGGAAAGTTAGACATGTTTGTCTTAAACCCTGTAAAAGAAAGCAAAGAGATGCAGTTTCTGATGCAGAAGTGGGCTGGAAACAGCAAAGCCAAGACGGGGATTATGATGCCCAACGGAAAAGAAGGGGAAATCTCTGTTCCATACTTGACATCAGTTACCGCGCTCATTGTTTGGATTCCTCACCGTCCATCAGAGAAGATAGTCAGGGTGCTGTTCCCAGGAAATGCACCCCAGAATAAAATCTTCGAGGGCCTTGAGAAACTGAAACACCTGGACTACCTGCGATACCCAGTGGCTACGCAGAAAGACATTTCATTGGGTGCACCCCCTCCCATCATCAAACAGACGAAGATCAGGTCCAGAACTGACAGCAAGGAGAGTCTCAAATCTTCTCCCAAACCACATTCTAAGGATGTGAAGAAAGAAGCCAGCGGGCAGGAGGACGAGTCCAGAAGTGACATCACCAAAGAAAATAAAGTGGAAAAGAAAGAAGAGAAGAAACTCAAAAGTCTCAAAGCAACCAAACAACAGAAAAACAGTGAAGTGGCTCCTGCAGCAGACAAGAAAGAGAAGAAGAAAATATCCAAGGAAAAAACTGCCAAACATGAGAAAGCATCCAAGATGGATGAAAAGAAAGACAAAGAGAAGAAAGAGATTAAAAAGGAGAAACGTGAGATAAAGAAAGATGAAAATATAAAAAAAGAAAGTAAAGTCAAAGAAGAGAAAAAGAAAGACCCAAGTAAACCAGAGCTGAGAAAAATCACCAAACCAGACCTGAAGCCATTTACCCCAGAAGTGAGAAAAACTCTGCACAAGGCCAAGACTCAGGCGAAGCCGAAGACAGACAAGAATAAAGCAGTCAAAGATGAAGCCAATGAAAAAAGACCAGTTCCAAAGAACGTCCCTGAAGAGGTGGCAGCTGCTGCTCTGGCTGACAGGTCTATTGTTTCCTCCCCTGAGGACCTAACTGAGGACTTTGAGGCTCTAAAACAAGAAGAGCGGTCCAAGACTGAGCCCATCCAGAATGATGTGATGTCTGAGCATTCACTATTTACAGACACTAAAGTTGATGAGAAAGTAAAATCACCAACTACTGAGATTAAATCTTCTTCACCCAGATCCCCTGTCAGTCCAGGAGAAGACAGAAACAAGGGCACTTTGGTTTCAGCCGCGAAACAGGACGCGAGTGATGCTTTCGACAAGAAGTATGAAGAGGAGAAGATGGAGAAATATGACAAACATCCCGTGAAGGACAACATAAAAGACAGATCAAAGAAGAGTGACAGCTCAGAGGAGGAGGATGATGTGATTGAAAAAGCAGAACTTGAAGGAACAGAAGATGACGAAGTCCTGAAATATAAAACTGAGAAGGTGAAAAAGGAAAAACCCGGAAAAGAGTGGGAGACAACACCAGCTGAACAAAAACCTTTATCGACCACAGTCGGGCAAACTGCAGCCGCCTCCGCCTCAGAGCAGTTCTCTTTCATTCACGACGAGACGATTCCCGGTTACTCCGAGACTGAACAGACCATCTCTGACGAGGAGATCCACGAAGAACCAGAGGACAGGATCCCTCAGTTGCGCTATGACGTGGGGTCCTATGATATTTCTGTTCCTGATGTCCCCGGCAGCTTTGACTCCATGCACGGCATCAAAGAGATGAAAAGCTCCATGGCGTCTGATGTCAAACCTAAAGCGTTCATGGGCCTAGTGCCCGAGCTTGCACCTTACCCAGCAATCATTGCTGCTCCTCTGGCAGAGGAAGAACACATCTCCTCAGCAACATCCATCACAGAATATGACAAACTGTCCTCTTTTGCCACATCTGTGGCAGAGGACCAGTCAATAGCCTCTGTTACAGCTCCTCAGACTGAGGACGCTGGGAGGAACTCTCTCCTGCTCGACACCATCAACAGTATCCCCTCACGTGCAGAGGCCGCCCAGGGAAAAGACTATCTCCACTCAGCAGGAACCATCTCACCCACCTCCTCTCTGGAGGACGACAAGTGCTTTAAGTCTCCTTCGTCCGATGAGTACCAGCCCAACATTCCTGAGCTGGAGGGTGATGCAAAGAGCAAATCAGTCCACGAAGAAGAAGATGATGAGGAGGACGAGGATGAGGACCAGACTCCGAATGTCGACATCCCTCTGGGTAAACTCCACGAGGGCTACGAACATGCAGCCTCAAAGATGCTCCAGGAGAAGGAGAAATCTCCCTCTGCCACTTTCTCTCCTGCTCCCTTCACTTCTACGCAGTACTCCCCCACACAGGCTGTCAAAGAAAACCAGGCTCTCTTCAGCACAGTGGGATTTAAGGCTGGTGCTGATGTTAAGCCTATTTCACCTCCTCCATCTTTCTCCCCTGGGTTAGAGTCCCACTCCAGGCAGGAGAGTGAGGAAAGATGTCTCAGTCCAGACGACAGCACTATGAGACTGGCTTCACCCACTCAGTCCGTGCCCACAAGCAGCGGTTATTCTCCAACAGAAGATAAAGAGGAGGACGTGACCAATGTTAAAGCCGACACTCATAAATACGTCTCGATTTCAGACAGCTCCTTTATCGGCGTGCCCAGTGACAAGACAGGATTTGAAGCATCTGAAGAATCTGATGAAGACAATGATGATGAAGACTTTTACGCCAAAAAGGATTTACAGCCCACTGTGAAGGCCAAACTAATGGAAGCAAAAGAAGGGCGCTTCTTGGACGACGACTTCTCCCTTGAGGCAAAATCTGCTGTAACAGAAACAGAAGTCAAGGCCTCGGTGAAGACAGAGGTTTCCTTCAGCTCAGAGGTGAAACCAAAACCTGAGGTGGTTTACTCGAATGATGAAGATGAGAAAGATGATGATGATTTCAGAAGTGTGCCAGGGTCAAAGCCCTTATCAACAGATCACGGTATAGCAGACTCTCAACAGGACGGTGCAGAGAAAACTGATATATCTCCCACAGAGCCTGAGAAAAGTGTTCATTTCAGTCTTTATAATTTCCCCGAGAAGGAGAGCAAAGAAAAGGCCTCGTACATTAGACAGGACACGCCCTATGTCCACGGGAAGACATTTTCCTACAGTGATATTTATGACAGCAAAACAAGCTCAGTGGACTCTGACTCCTATCGTCAGGAGTCGTTAGAGACGATGGAGAAGGAAACTGCCAGGAGCCAAGTGGATTTGCAGAAACACGACCCCCCCTCCCCGCTAACATCCACGGTAAAGATGGTAGAGAGAGAGGAATTTACCGCCTCTGATGGAAAAGTGTCGTCCACTCCATCGTGGCTCGACTGCAAGAGCACTGCTGCTATTACCCCTGAGATCACGAAGCCCCAGACACAGTCCTCAATGGAGGGTTTGAATGTTGGCAAACCTGGTTCCACAAGCTTCGGTGACAAAGGAGCATGTTTGGAGGTTGATATGCGAAAACTAACAGCAAGAGATGAGGAGGACTATGATGATGATGTAGTTGATGAGGATGATGAGGATGATGAGGATGAGGAAGACGAAGAGGACGATGAGGATGAAGGTGCTGTTGATTCAGATGTGGAGAAAGGTGCCAAAGAGAAGTCTGAGAAGGAAGCGAAAAGTCCCATCAGTGAAATGTTTGGCTCAAATAGACCTGAATTCATGGTTTCTATGGCAGGATATGGATACAACAGTCAGGGGAAGCCGAGTGTGTCGGAAAGCAGCTCCAGCTCAAAGGCTGAAGACAAAGATAAGGATGAGTCCTCGTCCTTTAGTGGAAAACCAGCTGATGGAGGTGCTACAGGTTTCTCTGGCTACTCCTCAGGGTTTGAATACTCATATGGAAGTGGTGAGAAAGACTCATTGTTATCAAGTCAGACGACAGACAAAGATAAAGAGGACTTCATTCTGAAATCAACAGAGGAGCATTATTACCAGAGCGACGCCACTGATCCTGATTTTGAGAAACAAAAGACCCCAGACCTTCTGAGTAAGAGGTCACTGGACGCAAGCTTTCAATACACAACCACGGCTGCCCCTGGCTACTCCTCGTCTTCTGCCTACAGCTACTCATCCTCCACCTCCGGCTCGCTCTCCACCAGCCGTCAGTTCGGAGAGGAGCTGGAGACCCCTGCCTCTGCAGAACCGCTCTTCGAGTACTCGTCTTTTAAAGATGAACACTCGCCGGTCATGGATTCTCTCTTCTCTAGCTCTGCTGGGGCCAAAGATGACTACCTGGAAGTGTCTGAAAAACAAATCACAACCACGGCTGAGTCCACATCCAGTTTAGCTCGCTTCTCCCCCCTCAGCCCGTTGGAGGACGTCAAACCTTTCCACACTCTCTCGTCCACTGGCTTCGCTGAGGACAAGAAGGAGCACACAACCTCATTAGGTGGGATTATGGACAAAGGTCCTCAGTCTGACTGTTTCTATAAGCCTGAATGGTCTGAAGGGTCCAAGCTGGAAACAGATGTTGGGTTTGGGGCCTCAGCAGCACCGTTCTCTCAACAGGAGCTCTCCAAGAACAAAGAGGCAGCGAGTGCTGCTCTGTTTGGTGTCACGTCCTCACCACGGCCAGACAAAGAGGGCAAACATTACTTTGAGGAGACTGACAGCAGTGAAGAAGAAGATGAGGAGGCTTACATTCGTGAGATCACTCTGAGGTCTCCCTCCAGTGGCCTGGCCGGTGGTCTCTCATTTCCTGACAAGGCTGTTGCTCCAGCTGCTGCTGAAAAGACAGTTGGTGAACTCCCTGATGTTCTTGACTCCTACATGGCTTCACCTCTCCAGGCAAGCAAACCAGACACAGCCAACGGCCCCACCGAGGTCATTACAAGCTCCACCCTCCCGGCTGGAGCAGCAGCCAGCGGTGCAACTCCAGGCCTGGTCAGGGTAGAGTCCAGGGAGGCCGGTTACAGCAGCTGCTATGATTGGGAGTTGCCTAAGCCCCAGATGGGGATGGTCCCTGGAGACTCTCCTCCCCATTATCGTCATGATGATGAGTTTGATGAGGAGTGTGAGATGGAGCCAGAGCACCCGGCCCGCCCACTCTCACTCTCTTCAACCGACCAGCCCTTCCACTCACCTTTCTACTCCGAGGAGTGCAGCCAAGGAGGCCGGGATGATGATGATGACAGCGATCAGGATTTTGCTGGTGATGCACCGATGGGAGCCACCTCCTCTTACACTAGCCGTACCTCTCCTGGATATTCCTCCTCCGAGTACAGGCAGCGCAAAGAGGACCTCTCACCTTCCTTCATCAACCCCAGTATGCGGCGGTTATCCAGCAATGAGGATGATGAGGAGGAGGAAGGTAAAAGCGACCAATCACAGGAGGGCAACGACCATGATCTGTCAGTCAAGAGACGGGCTCACAAACAGCCTCATCATCAGGCGTCTCACAGCAGCTCTTTGCACCAGGCTGGTGGCCTGTCTGCAGGACTGGGTCTCGCCACAGAGGACACACCACCCACCTCCGTCAGTGAGTCTCTGGGTTCTCAGTCCGACTCTGAAGTTCCTCCAGGCACCGAGGAATACCCCTCAGCCACCGGTGAAGGCAACATGGACTCAGACGAGGACGCAGACTACATGCCCATCGATAAAATATCTGCCCCCGGAGGAGGCAGCCATCAGTCCTCAAAGAGGAGCCACGACCCTCCTCCTGCACCCGTCATGGACCCTTATCCTCATCCCCCTCACCCAGACGTTTGCATGGTGGATCCTGACTCTTTGGATAATGGCTCAGTCAAGAAAGAGCCAAAAGCAAAGAGCTTGAAAAAATCCTCCGGGAAAACCAAATCATCATCATCACCAGCTCAGCGCAAGAGGTCCCCGATGCCGGTGAAGCAGACGGCGTCTCCTCGCAGAGCTTCGCTAAAGAAGAAGGAGGCAGACAAGAGCTCACACATGTCTCGTCTGTCAGACGGACAAGGCTCCAAAGACGACGACCTTTCCCGGTCCAGCTTCAACCCTGGCAAAGGGCAAAGTAACGGTGTCAAGACCAGTTCAGGTGAGTGGATCAGATCTTTTTAGAAATCACTGACTCTTAATGAAACCAAACAGATTTTCTAAGATTGATACGTAGTCATGGTCATTTCTTCTTCTCCCGTCAGGTTCCCAGAAGTCCGGCTCAGCAGCCGCTCCTGGACTTCCCATTTACGTAGACTTGGCCTATATTCCCAATCACTGTAGTGCCAAGAACGTGGACCAAGAGTTTTTCAAACGTATTCGCTCTGCGTACTACGTGGTGAGCGGGAACGATGCAGCCAGCGGTGAACCAAGCCGAGGGGTTCTGGATGCACTGTTGGACGGCAAAGCTCAGTGGGGATCGAACCTACAGGTTGAAGTTGATCTTTGTTTATGTCTACGTCGAGAGTTTTTTTTTTCCAGGTTTTGCTAATTTCCTGATCCTTTGTTCAGGTGACGCTGATCCCCACCCACGACACGGAGGTGACCCGTGATTGGTACCAGCAGACGCACGAGAGGCAGCAGGAGCTCAACATCATGGTCTTGGCCTCCAGCAGCACCGTCGTCATGCAGGACGAATCCTTCCCTGCCTGCAAGATCGAGTTTTAAGATCTTGGCTCCCCCCCCCGGCCTCCCCAGTGTAGATCTGTTTTTGATTGCTCTTCTCTTTAATGATATCTGAAATCCGTCCCCGCCCCAGACGTGATCGGCTCAAAGCAGAAACACATCTGGATAACTGATAACTTTCTAGATTTTTATTTGTTTATAAGCTTGTTGTGGCTCTGACCATTTATATTACAAATCATGATCTGTCCTCCACCACATCGTTACTCTTCAACCACATGAGGGAACAAAAGTGTTTCTCAGCCTCTGTGAAACAAAGACTTCTGTTATTAGTGAAGACAAAATGTTCTTTGTGTTAAAAAAAGAAAAACAAGCTGGAAACAATTTGCACGTTGATGCTTTGCTCGGATGTTAATTGGCCTGAATCGAAGCACAAGAGACAAAGTACAAAATGTTCTTCCACTGAATCTCAGACGTTCACTCTGAAACATTCTGTCAACAGAAAATCAATCAGTAACCCGACTCTACTTTCTCTCTTCGACAGTCCCAGTGTCGAACCTTGTGCCTCGTTATGACGTAGTGAGAGAAAATGTTCGAGTAGATCTCAGTCGTCTCCGTGAGTAGATTTGATGTTGGATTAGAAACAAACGTATTCACAATATAACATTTCTACGATTCTCAAAGTGAAAATCAACGGTTTGAGTTTCTCTGAGGTTGTTCTTTCTCACAGTGACTTTGATGAAGACGTTTCTCTCTGTTCTTGTTTCTCTTGTCTTCTATGTCTTTTTTCAGTGTCCTTCCAGTTAACATATCGTGGCTGAGGATGTTGAGGAGACGAGTTTTTATCTTTCACTCATACTTGTGTCTAAAAGATCTTTATACAAAAGCTGAGCTAAAGGAAGAAGAATGTTTTCCAACAGTACATGAGGATGATGAGGATGATGAGGACGGTGAGGAAGGTCAGGGCAGGTTTGACTGGTGCAGCGGTTGGACTGTCAGCCACATGTGCCTTTGTGTCCTGCTGTGTCGAGGGAGAGACGTTTAGAAACCTGACGTGTGATGAGCCGTTCCCTCTGTTGACTTACAGACTAAGTGTAAAACCACAGACTCAGTATTTCAGCCGCTGTGTTTTCCCTGGAGCTGCCACTCAAACAAGCACAAACATTAACCAGCGTGGTTAAAACCTAAAGCAGTTTTTACTGTGATTACGACATTTGCAGAGAAATGTTGCTATTTAATTTTCTCTTTCTATTTGAAGTTCTGCAAAGTAAATCATCCCGTGTTACTCATCAGTTTTAATTTCAGTGAGTGTTTTTAACACTGAATATTACATAGAGATGTTTTTAATTTGATATTGATGATTTGATATTTTTCAGTAATTTCATAGATTTTAAACCAGGAACAAAACCAACCACAGAAACAACAATAACCAGAGTTGTTCCTTATCGATCCACAACAAAGTCCAGATATTCCTGTGAATAGAATTTTATCTAGAGACGCATGAACAACAGATGCACGCACGATGACTCTCTAAGAAACAGGCCGAGCTGATTTGAATGTGAAGATGCAGATTACCTTTACGTTCTCCGTCGAGGACTTTGATCTCCTGGTTGCCTTGGTTACTGAGCATCACAGTAGAACTGGCCTGGACACAACGAGCAGATGAACAGATCCAGGTTCAGTTTGCGAACGATGTTTGATTGCTGATGAACATGTAAGAGTCTGATGTTGAGTAACAGGTTTGATTCCTGCCCAACAAAAAAAGAAGCATTGAGAGTTTCTGGATGAAAACAGGGTCAAACACTGCAGCAGCGTAACATCTGATTACAACAACACAAACGACCAGATCATTCCAAACTCAAACTGCCAGACGAGAGAGACGCTCTTACGTCAACTCATTTTATCTGCAGGCAACTTCCTGTTCTTCAGTTTTTACCAGACAACGCTTCGTATATTTACACATTTTCATCTTGTTGAAAAAGAAAGAAAAAGTTAAACTCCAGTCGTGGAGGCCGTGGGTTTCCAGTGAGCTCCGCTTGTACGTGCATGTGAACCTTTGAATTCTCCTGTAATGTAATCGCTCCAGACTTTACATAGAAATGCTATTTTAAAAGAGTATATTCAGAAGCTGTGTGGTTGTGAGGAGGCACATGTAACCTGGCTGTGCTGTGAACTAAGTGATCATTACTTCTCATCTTGTTTTAGGTGCAATACTCTCGGTATCTCAAATAGAAAACAGATTTATTGTGAAAAGGGAAAAACGTGATGACCAATAAAAACATTATTGAAGGAGAATGTCTCCCTCTTCTTGTTGAGTCGTGTCATTACATCACAATGAAAACTACAGATACTATGATCATGATGTCACTTTCACCTTCTCAGTTTAATTATCACGTTAACAATAATTAGTAAACACAAGATGGACGACATGAGTGAAACCAAATCATTTCCATCGCCCCCTGGTGTCTGGCTGCAGTATAAACCCTCCTCCTCCATGTTAGCAGATGGGACATGGACCGAACTAAAAGAAAATCAAAGTAGACGTTAGATAAATGTTTCTGTCACTTCAGCTCGTTCTTCTCTCTGATGTTTGTTCAAGTGTTTCTCATCAGTTTGGTTTCATCAGTTATTGATGATATAAAAACTCATCATGATTGACAGCTGACACTAGCTCCTGATTGGTCGAGGCCACACATGGACGGGACCTCGTTTCTGCGGCTCTGCTCCAGACGACGTCTCCAGAACAAAATGGCTGCTCGTGTATCAGGATGTTTTCGCTGCATTTGTGTTCAACAGGAGGAAGTGGGTTCTCATCTTAACTGAGTCACAGCTGAGGCTCATGGGAATGTTCTACCTGATTGAGTTCATCCTCAGGGGAACATGAATTCACTTCATATCAATGAACGCAGCAGGTTGTTACACAGACTGAAGGACGACGCTCTGCAGTGTGTGTGTTGTTATGTTTTTAATCTGTACACAGACACGTCAGACTCACAGTTGTGTTTTACACGTCTGAACATCACAATGTAACATGAACCTCCCCCCCCACACCTGCTACATCACTGCTCGCCACAATAAAAGCACTGAATGTAAAATGCCCCCCCTGTTTGTCCAGTGATAAAATGATTTTAGATTTCACAAAGAATATACATTAGCTATGGTACAATTAAATATCTAATGTGAAGCTTTTAAAAATACCAGATATTTCTCTTCAAGCTGCAGTTTCAAAATAAATATCGTCTCCATCTTTTTCTACTGATTATATTAAATCTTCGATGAGGCTTCAGGACTTTGGCAGTAAGCAGCGCACACACGCTTTGACCTGGAGATTACGCACATTTGAAACTCACACGTGTTGCTGGCAGTAATGAAGATTCAGCCGCTGTCGCTCAGGTTCTGAACATGAAGCCACAGACGCTCGAGCGTGATGAAGAACCAGCCATTGTTTCTTTCCTGTTTTCACTTTACGTCACTTCGTCCTGTTACAAACTTGTAGAACAGGAACGTTTGTGCTCATGTTTTGACGATAAGGTGAAGCTGCTGATCTGATACCGAGGCTATAACTTCACTACTGCAGCTGAAGGTAAGAGAGCGGAGAGTTCACACCATCTAAAGCTCCATTAATCAATATATTTAGAGTCACAATCAACTGATCACATGTGGTAACACAAAAGGATTCTGAGCACGACCTGCTCGAACTATCAGACATCAGCCAGGAGCCGGAGAACAGAGGAGGAAACAGCTTCAGGCTGAAAACACACTGGATTTACGTTCATCAGGTGGATGATGAACATCACTCAGACAGATTTGAGGGTGTGGGTCAGTTTGTCTGCCCCCTCGTGGCCAAATATTGATTAATGCAGCTTTAAGGAGAGAGAGTTTTATATGAGTTGTGTAAGTTGAGCTTTACGACACAGCTTCACCTTTAAGACCGACACAGACGGACTGAGCCGGAGGAAAGGCAACGATACGACATCATCTTATGATTCTCCAACACAGGACACAGCTCAACTCAGTCCTCGAGCAGAGCGGAGGCCTGGTTAGATAATGATTGACAACAAGGATGTAGAGCTGCAGATTCAGCCACGTTAGACAGACGCTCTACAGCTCAGCTGGGTGAGTGGCTCCACCCTCCAGAGGCGTCTCAGGCTGGGGGAGGCTCTCTGGACTGTCCATCCACAGCTCCATGGACTCCTGGGTGTCAAAGAACTCATCAGGCCCCTCAGGAGACTGAGGTGTCTGGGAGCTGGAGCCCGCCTCACTGCTGCTCTCTCTGAGCTCCAGAAGCACAGGCAGAGAGCTGGGGAGGCAGTAACCCTCCATGCGACCCAGAGCCAGCTCAGCCAACGCAGAGCAGGCCGGCCTCAGGTCAGGATCCGATAGTTCCACTGCGGCAGAGGCCACGTCTGGTCCGTCCTGCTCGGGCTCAGCATTATCTGACTGGTGACCAGTGAGGTCAGCATCCTCTGGTGAGTTGTTTGGAGTCAGTGGGACTTCGGCGGGGCTGGAAGCCGCAGGGCCAGCTGGGTCGAGGACCTGTGACCCGATGAGAGGCACTGGCTGAGAGGAAATGTTTTGAGATGAGTGAATTTCCTCACTGCTCTGAGAGGTGAGGGAGATCTTATCGCTGAAACTGAAGCGTGGGGAAGTGTCAGCTGTGGTGGGAGAGGACGGCCCAGCGCTGGACACTGTGCTGGACGGACCGCTGCTGTCTGCACGGACACAAAACAGACACACACAGAGAGAGAGAACATGAACAAGAAAATATCACTGAAGACTTCTCTTATTATTTAACAAATAACACAAAGACTTAACAATTACTACGGTTTCATCTGCAAGAGAAGTGTTGAGTGTGGGTTCACTGGGTTCCACAGATGACAGAGATAAAACCGTGAGCACCTTCTAAAACAGGCTGTAACGGGCGACTTTGAATTCCACAAATAATCCACAGACGACTGAAACTGAGACAGGTGAACAAGGACAACCTAGAAACGTCAAACGAGGAGCTGCTGCGATACTCACACCAAGGAGGTCTGTCAGAGCGAGATCTGAGGGAGATGGAAGAAGACAGGACTCTCTGAGGGATGTACGAGTCCACTGAAGGCTGGTTGTGTGTGTCGAACATGGCTGACAGAGCTGCAGGGAGACACACGGGACAATAAGCAGTGACCATTATACTGTTTTCAAAAGGTAACGTGAAATGTGTTCTCTAACCTCTGGTAGTCCTGGTGTGTGGGTCCCCGGCACTCTCACACACTCCGGTGAGGAACTCGTTGACCTGTTTTAGCGACAGTGAGTTGTGCAGCGTTTCCAGAGGGTAGATGGAGGGCACCATGGAGCAGCCTTCAAAGCCTGTGGCAGAGTAGAGACACGACGCCCGCAGGCACATCAGCCCTCAGCTACACCAACACTCAGGAAGAGGAGCAGGCAGAACCACTTCAGCTGACACCACTGCACCGACACCATCCATAAACTACACCTCAACACGCTGCCCGGCCAGCTGTCAACTCCTGCCAGCCTCAACGGTTCGTTTCCACGCAGGCAAAAAGCAAAAACCATGCTTAACGCCAAGACAGCATGACACCATATCCAGTAACACATCTACATGTCCCAAACATCTGGCTCCATTTGCAAAAGCAGGCAGGTCTCAAAAACAATGATGTCCAACTTTCCGGACCGACTCGACGAACCACAGCGGCTCCACCAGCAACATCAAGGTCATCAGTTCATCCACGTTAGTTCACAACCAAGCCACATGTCACCAGAGCCGTTCAGTCACAAAGCGTCAAACCACAGCTCGTCTGTTCAAAAAACTCCTCAGAGGATTTTTTTTTTTTACAGTGTTCATCTGCACCGACGTCTCCACAAGTACAGAAAACAGGCAGGAGTCACATGCTGGTTAAGATCAGGAAGGAGGGACAGTGACATTCAAACTCAAACACTGCAGCTAATTGTAAAAGCAGCTGAACGTGATGTGGATTAACACCAGCTCTATGGGGTGTTAACGGGGGGGGGGGTGTTAACGTCACTTAAACATTAAATATTGATGTCACATGCAACGCACTGCACACATGACACCGTTCAGTAGCTTTAAGATCGGTGTGTGAACGAAGGTGCAAATCATGTAATGTACATGTTTACTGTCTGAACACGTTATTACATCTTTCAAACACGTTCTACGATAAAAGCCTCATTTCAAAATTCACCGAACCTCTGAAAGTCGTCCTCACGAGCACGTCCCCGAGCTGGAATCAAAAAACGGAACTCTTTTGTGTCAGGGTTGTTGGTGAGCGTAAAAACTCTGCTTCCATGTTAATGTGTTCAATCTGCTGTGATAATTACACAACCACGATAAACAGTCATTTCAACCTCACGCCAACTGTGAACATAGAAATGATGTGTGCTGCTGTTTGACTCTGGACATAGTTTTAATTCTGCCAAGACAACTGGACATTGACGTATATTAAAGTTCTGGTAAGTGGACAAGGTGTTGGAGACAGATCCTCACATGTGACTCTGAGCTTCAGTTACTGCTCAGAAAGTGTCTCTGGTTGAGTTAAGAACAGAGGATGATGCTGCTTGTTAACATCGATGAGACAAACTGGACATGAGACAAACTGGACATGAGACAAACTGGATATGAGACAAATCAAATGTGACAGATTGATTAAAAGCTTCAGGATCTTGTTTAGTTAGATTTTTTATTCTAAATCTGAACCATGGTAGTTTCAGTTTTGAGCATCGTCTTTATAAAATGCCACAAAAAATCAAATCAAATCAGAAAATAGTTTGAAAAAAGGGTTTTAACCATAAAAACTCTGGATTGGAGCTCAAACAACGTCTGAAACAATTATTTGAGGACCTGTGATCTAAAATCTTCAAATGTGATTATTTATTAGTTGACTTAGTCTGAGACAATAAAGAATCATCTGAGGGAAATCCTTATTTAGATTTGTTTTATCTCCATAGTGGAAATATGATTATGTTCCTAAAAGAGACAACAAAGAATTAGAAGATGGGGCCTTCAGATTGTTGGAGCTGCTGCAGAGGGGGAGGTTACAGAGTTGAACAGCTCACACCACTCCAGCTTGCAATCTGCATGAGCACAGACACAGGCAAGCATGCAGAAACACCAAGAGCAAAGCATGAGTCAACCAAAGAACGAGCACAGTCCCAACTAAACCGTGAGCAGTGGTTGGACAGGGCGTGAGGCTGGGGGTGTGGAGGGCGGGGCCAGGGGCTGACCGTAGAGGTACTCTAGGGGGTCCTGGCCGGAGATGAGCCAGTTTCTGAAGAGGCGGAGGTGGTAGGAGCACTGGTGGAGGTGGTGGGCCAGCGCCCCGTCCAGAGAGAGGTGGCGGCCCAAGCTGGGGTCGGTGAAGAAAGGCCTCAATAACTGGGCCACATGGTGCTCCTCAAAGGGCTCTGAGGAAGAAGAGGGAGAGCGAGGAAGGACAGAGCAGTGGAGGAGCAGGAGGAGGAGGAGGAGCAGTACAAAAGACATGAAATGATAGGATATGAGCTGAGAAGAAGGGACGAGGGGAAGGAGCGAGGATGATACAGATGAGAGCGAGAGGAACAGCAAAGAGGAAAGAGGCAGAAGTGCAGTGTGTGTGTGTGTGTGTGTGTGTGTGTGTGTGTGTGTGTTTAAAGGTTGTTTACTGCTGGAAACCAAAGTCGCAGCCAACAGCTTATCTCAGCTGCCAAACAGCCAAAGATCAGAAAAAGCAACAAAATCATCTCAAGCAGTTTCCTGATAAAAAAACTTCCAGCTCTTAACTGAAGCTCAAACAAGAGGCTGAAAATAAAAACACGTTGCTCCTCTGCAGCATCAACGTCACTTTCACAACGGGAAACTATTCAGAACGACATTGATCCAATTCATGATGAAAACCACACAGGAGCAAGTGAGACATTAACAGGAAGCAGTGAGCAGCCACAGAGGAACAGATATGCATCATATAAGGTATTAATGCATGTAGAGATAAATCTGGCGTCCACGTGAACTAAGTGATCGGACCACTGATGTCACCGCTTACACTATAAAGCTGCAGCTGGACACAGAGGTGCGTCAGTGGAGGCGTCGTACCTGTCGCAGTGCACCAGAGAGGTGGAGCCACTGCAATGGTGGATGTGTCGTCTCGTGTTCCTGTGGTAAATGATACATGTCACACAAAAGCATGTAGTGTGTGTCTGATGAGCTACATGTATGATTTTAAAGAAGACACGTGATGTGTGTGTGT